ACCACAGGATGTTTCATGATATAGAGTGCTATCAGGTGCTAGGTACTGTGTTTGGAACTAGTGTACTCTTTTTTGTATGTGAGTAAGTTCCTGCATGTATTATGTAAGAATATGTATTAGTAAATATAAAATGAAAAATCAATTTTGAAATTTGCAACATATAAAATTGAATATACAATGTATTTTATATGAATGTTCCCTATGATTTTACCACGAATAATATAAAAACATTTCCAGCCACTAGAAGTTTTCTATTTGTTTTATTATTATCGGTATAAAATCAGGGTGAACATTTTAAAATTCACTGAACTATAGTTGAGTGGCCGACCGGTAAGGCAGGGACGACTATGGAAAGCCGCGTCCGCCAAAAATACCAAACAATCCATTCAACAACAATTCAAACGCACCAAATTCAAACCATACAAACATACTCCCAATTATTCAATAGGACGTCACACCATTCAGGTAATAATCTCACCATCACATTCAAGGTGTGACCATCTACCCCTAAAGCAAACCACAATATTCAAGACCATCTAATATAAACTCAAACCGACTAATGAATACTGAAACCGATCAGTCATAAAAGAAAAGAAAAACATTATCTTGTGTATGTAATCATTTATTTATTTAAGATTTCTTTATTCAGGGTGGAAAGATTTCAATGACTAGCGCTGCCTACCAAGGAATGAATTTAGAAAAATGGTAACTTGAACAACAGTTACATGTTTTATGAATTAGAATACAGTATGTATTGCGTTGTGGTATACACTAATTCATAAGCGTAAAGGTAGTTCAGCTCAGCTTTTGCTAGACTAGCTAGTGAGTGAGAGGTATGGCCTTGGTCAGCTATATGCATAGGTAATAGGCCTAGGAGCTAGGCCTGGTTGTTAGGACTTTCACGAATGTAGAGCATTCTTTCTCTCATCAGAAATATATTTTTATGCTATCAGACGTGAAGACGTGAATAATAGATGTTTGTCTTGACGTCGAATTAAGTAATTTATGACTGATCGGTTTCAGTATTCATTAGTCGGTTTGAGTTTATATTAGATGGTCTTGAATATGGTTTACTTTAGGGGTAGATGGTCACACCTTGAATGTGATGGTGTGAGTATTAACCTACCTGAATGGTGTGACGTCCTATTGAATCATTTGGAATATGTTTGAATGGTTTGAATTGTTGTTGAATGGATTGTGTTTGGTATTTTTGGCGGACTCGGCTTTCCATAAGTAGGGGGTTACCCTGATTCTATGGTTCATTTTGGCCCCTGTCGCGGTGGAATGATGTGACCATGAAGCTACTATAAGCGCCTCTTCTTAGTCGCGGACCACTCGCATACGCAATACAGGCCTGAAGCCAGGGGTTTTGTTTTGGTTTGGGAGAACCCTCCCCTTTTCCTATGTTTCAACGTTCCGCCATACAACCGACCCGTTATTCCAACACATAGATGGTAGACCTATATCTGCCCAATTTGTTTCAAGTCAGATTAAAAAATCTTTCGCTTTCAAAGGCTTGGACGCCGCATTATACAAAGGGCATAGTTTCCGCATTGGTGCGGCCCCCCAAGCTGCTGTCTCTTATACACATCTAGATGTGTATAAGAGACAGACCCACGGCAGCTGCAGTGCAGTGTCATTCAACTTAACTACAACATTAACATATACATATGGATACAAACATTGTCCTTAACCCGCCTAACTCTCAATATGAGGGTTAATCGTGGAGCCAAACACAGACTCCAATTAAAAGAGGATGCTGGCCAGGTTTGAATCGGGGTCTTCAGAAAAAGAAGCAGAAACAATACCTCTCAGCCAACTGCTCAACTCCAAACTGCTGAGCATGCTGAGATCATCTATCACATTAATAACAAGGTGGTAC